GTAAGTAATCTCATCCGAAATTCTCATAGGGGTTAGTAAATGGACATGTACTATTCTTTATCTTAATTTAAACTTTATTTAAAAATAATAATTATAAAAAAAAAAAAAAAAAAAAGCTATAACAACGACCAGCATCCTATACCGAAACTGGGCGCACGAAGAAGACCCACTCCGCACTAACCTAACCCGCCGCCGCTGCTAAGCCTCGCCACCGTCACACAAACCCTCTGCTGCTCCGTTGGTGTTGGCGCAACCGCAAACACCTCCGCTGCTCCGCTCTTCGCTGTCCATTAGAACACGTCTTAGAAGGTTCTTAATTTGGTTGCTGATTTCTAATAATTCACAATTTCACACTTTTCCAATAATTTGCTCTCGTGTCATGATGGTTCTGATTTCACATTTCTATTCTGTTGTTGAAGAAGCTACTGAGCTCTTTGACGAAGAACGACTTCCAGAATTTGCCACAACTTTTACTCCTTCAACATAAATAAAATATGAACTTGTTCAAATTTTGGGCGGATTCTTTATCTGTTTGACAATTTGAGTATTTGATTTTTTAACTGTTTATTTGATTTCTCTGCACTATGTTGCAGGAGAAACAAGGGTGATCAACTTGGTCGTCAATTAGCACAGTTCATACTGCTTTCACGGACAAGACAGTTTTTAACATCAGGTATGACATGACCTTCCCAAACTTGTGCAGCGCTCTAACTAGCTTATTGTTGCTCTAAATTGTTATTTTATTCACCTTGCATGTATATATCTCGTAATATTTGTCGCTGCCACTACATGTACTAAGAAGTTTTTACTTTATGGATTTTATTTGCAAGACTATTTTGTAATCTTGTTCAGGATTTGTAAGGGTTAAGTTAGATTGGTCAAGGCTTCTATTGTTTAAGTTCTTCTCAAAATTATGTTATGTTTATTTAGGCACATGACCTTTGAACTTGGATAGCAGTGTGGGTAAAACGTTCATATATTTCTAGACGGTAATTGGCACCGTGGATTCCAACCATATTTATCTGTTTTTTCTTGAAATTTTTGGTTTTTTTGCTACGATTTCAACCAATTAGATTGTGGGGTGTTTGAATTGTTCAAAAAAATCAATTTTTTATTTTGAAATTTCACTTTTTTTATTTTTCAATGAAGCCATGAGTGGTGATGCAGCATATTTGGAGCACCCTATATCAGAGGATACACTTCAATTACTCTTTGAAGCTTCCAACTGTTCTAACTTGGAAAAGTCCTTAGAGATTCTCATTCAGAATGCCAAAACAGATTCAGGGCGTTCGGAACTAGCTTCTAAAAAGATTCTCCCTGCAGTACTTAACATAGTTCACTCACTCACTCATGCTTCACATCATCGTTGTCATAATGATATTCTTTCTTTGTGTTTCAAGCTCCTCAGAAACTTGTGTGCTGGAGAAGCTGCAAACCAGGGCTCATTTCTTGAGCAAAATGGGGTAGCTGTTGTTTGCAGTGTTTTGAGGTCAGAGGCTGGTTCTTCAGGCCCTGATCATGGGTTGGTCCGGTGGGGTTTGCAGGTTCTGGCAAATGTTTCTTTGGCAGGGAAACTGCATCAGCATGCTATTTGGGAAGAGCTGTATCCGGTTGGTTTTGTATCACTTGCTAGACTTGGCACCAAGGAGACTTGTGACCCGTTGTGTATGGTGATTTTTACGTGTTGTGATGGAAACCCTGAATGGTTTAAAAAGCTGTCCAGCGATGATGGCTGGCTTGTAATGGCAGAAATTGTGAGAACTGCTTCTTCTGGTGCGTTAGTAGCTTTATGTATTTGTACTTTGATGTTTTTTCTGTGTTGTCTTGTCATCTGGGGTTATGAACTAATGTTTTTTTTTTTATTATTATTTTTTATAATTTATGTGATATCCTTTTTCATTTGGTTATTCCTTTTTGCTTATAATTATTTTCCTTGATTTAAATGGTCTTTTTGAAGTTTTGAAATTTTTTTTCCACAAAACACAATGGCATTACGTAATTCATATAGTTGATCTCATCTAGTGGGACATGTTTATGTTGTTGCTGCAGCATGCTGCTTGTATACTTTGCTTTTGTTTTTCTATGCTGTCATGGGTGTCAAACAGGGTTATGATTGTTTTTAGGTTGTAACACTGATCTCTTTCTTTTTGCTTCATTCTATTTTGAGCTCTTTTCTAATTCATTGGTTTCTACTGAACCAGCTAGTCTCGGTGAGGATTGGTTGAAGTTGCTCCTTTCAAGAATCTGCCTTGAAGAATCTCAATTGCCGGGGTTGTTTTCGAAATTACAGTTTGTGGATGTTCCCAAGGGTGAAGTTACTGAGTCAAAAGATAGTCAATTTTCATTTGAACAAGCATTTCTTCTGCGAATCTTATCAGAAGTCTTGAATGAGCAGCTTAGAGATGTTACTGTTTCAAAGGAAGTTGCATTGTTTGTTTTTGGAATATTCAAGAAGTCAATTGGGGTTCTTGAGCATGCAATGAGAGGGAAATCTGGTCTGCCTAGTGGCTTTGCTGGGGTAGACGTTCTTGGCTACTCTATTACCTTATTGAGGGACATTTGTGCTCAAGACGGTATGAGAAGTAATAAAGAGGATGCAAGTGATGTTGTTGATGTGCTATTGTCATATGGCATCATAGAGTTGCTTTTGTTTTTGCTTGGGGCCCTTGAACCTCCAGCAATAATCCGAAAAGGACTCAAACAGTTTGAGAATCAAAATGGTACTAGTTGTTCCTCAAAACCATGCCCTTACAAAGGCTTCAGGCGAGACATAGTTGCACTTATTGGCAATTGTGTTTATAGAAGGAAGCACGCACAAGATGAAATCCGGCACAGGAACGGAATTCTACTGCTATTGCAGCAGTGTGTTACTGATGATGATAATCCTTTTCTGAGAGAATGGGGCATATGGTCTGTGAGGAATTTGTTGGAGGGAAATGATGAGAACAAAAAGGTAGTTGCTGAGTTGGAGATTCAAGGATCTGCTGATGTGCCTGAAATTACTGCACTTGGTCTCCGTGTGGAAGTTGATCAGAAAACTAGACGTGCAAAGCTTGTAAACGTCCCATGAAAGATCACTATAACTTGGCGTCTGTGCATTTCGGTCTTTCGTAGTGTGGTCCCTTGGTTGATTTTAGGTTGGGATATTTTCCTTTTTATTTCATTTTCAAGTGGAAACAACTTTCTATTGCCAATGAAAAATCAGAAGAAAATTCATATTTAGAATAGAAAGTAATAGATGTCTGAACAATTTTGCAGAATTCCTGTCGATACTCATGATAAATTATCAAGCAACATCAGATGGGGGAGGAACATAATCTACAAAGTAAAAGACACATAATCACCAAAGAGAATGATTAAACCCTAAATCAAGATTATGCTTTTTCAAGTAGATTGGCAGTGATGTTACTTTTTATATCATACTTGGTGGCACTATTTATTACAAAACAAATTGCGTTTCACATTGTGAATGAGGTTTCGTGGTGTCTCAGGTTTTTTTGGTCGAAGCAGTGGACTCTGTTGTTAATGTTCTGCAGTTTGTCAAGTAATTGAAGCTGTGGAAACTTGGAAGAGATGCGCCAGGCAGAACAAAGACTGCCACTCCTTGGATTTTTTGTCCAATGTAATCTTTTCAATTTTGTATGTATGTATATTATTATTATTATCATTATTATTGATAGTAAAGTCCATTTTTTTGGTTTGTTTTAGCTGTTCTATTGGATGGTAATTGTGTTGTGCAATTTAGATATGCATCATGTCAATTAAATATTGCGGCGAAATGGTGTTTCTGATACGTTAGACTTACCGATTGAGAAATAAGTTTATTACAGGCGAGGAAGCGAGGCTATGTAAATATGAAGTTTATTATTATAATTTGGTTTTAGTTGCATAATTGTTAGGAGCTATGTTTTATATTTTTCTTACCAATTCAATCTATTCCATGTTCATATTAAATCAATTGATTTGGTGAGTGTAGAGCGCCTCCGGGTGGCTTTTTAATTTTTCATTTCAATATTTGTAAAAAAAAAAAATGTTGTGTTTGCCTTTTGTGGTTCATGAATCAATGGAGGGATTTGTGTTGAAACAGGAGTTATTACGTGCGCTATTTTTTTTGTTAATTGTTGTCTTATCGGGGGATTGAAAATGTGAATAGGATTGGTGTTGCTGTTTCTTGAATGGTTCTATTTCCTATGTCGTATGTTCATGTTATCTTGAAAATGCTAGTGCTAACCAAAAATAAGTTTTTCGGGAAGACATTGAACCTTCTTAAATTCCAATTTTTCCAATGTTTCAAAGGCAGAGTGACATGCCTTCTAGGTACTCATATTTTCTTTGTATTTGAACAATTTATAATTCTCTTTGTTCTTATTATATATAGCATCAATACAGAATGGAGTACCATGAATAAATAAATAAATAAAAACCCTATAATTTTATGTAGTAACAAAGAATATCTTCCACTATCTTCGAGTGCAGTGAAGCAGTGCATTTTGATGTTTTATTATGATTCAGACATGTAAGTGTATCTTTTGAGCTTTAATCGTTATTTCAACAGCTTTTGCTGCACAACGTATATCATAAATATAGATTGGACACTCAAAATAGTGGACCAAGATGCAATGACGACATAAAATTAAAGCAAGAAAAGAACAAAGGACATAAATTAGTATCTAGCATACCATTTTGAAATCTTTTGACAGCCTGAGAGGTACAGGTTCCAAAACTCAACCCTGTGCCTAAAATATTAGCCGGAAATTTTATTATCAATATTGCAGAGACTGAAATCGAAGTGATAGACTTAGGGGGTGTATTGGATTAGGATTTTAAAGGACTTTTTAAGTTAAAAAAAATCGTGCGGATTTTAAAAGACTTTGCGGGATTTTCATGATTTTTAAGATTTTACAAGATTCTACAAGACTTAAAATGAGGATTTTAATGGATTCTACAAGACTTTTAAATGAGGATTTTAATGGATTGTGTGAGATTTTGTGGAGTTTTGACATTTGATAAGATTTATAAAAAAATTCATACATTTAAATTTAAAAAGAGTCAAATTAAGACAAAAATAATATAAAAAAAATAATGTCTAGATAAATAATAATAATAATTCTCCATAATATCCTATCCCCTTTTTATAACATCTACTATCAATTGTAACAATTCATCGGAATCCTCCTTAGTCCAAGTTTCATAATTTTCTTTCTCTTTTCCTTTTTCTTTATTATTTCCTTGTGAATCTCCCATTTGAATTACTAAAACAATATATGTTGAAAACTAGTTATATAAATAATTATGAATAAGAGACAAAATTAATAAAATTATATTATTATTTTTAGAAGCACACCAATCATACAAGATCGAATATATCTTGGCTATCCAAATGGATCAAATACCTCAATCATTATAAAAAAAAACATGTAAAAATGAAAATATAGAAACATAAGATAATTTTTTATATAAAAAAAAACCAGTATATTCGATACTGAGAAAATATTTAGATATATAATTTTTTTTATATAAACGGAAGTATTTAAATATATATATATATATATATATATTATTTTAGTTATATATTATATGATAATTTTTAACGATATTTATAAATGTAAATTATTCTAACAAATATTATAACAATATTTCCTTTTTAAAAAAATAAGCTAATGAAGGCATAAATCCTAAACCCTAAAAAGTTAGATACTGCAATGTCTTATGTTAATTTTCTTTTTTTTAAATATAAAAAAAATCTTAATTTCACAATATAAAAATAAAAAGAAAAATTCATAGTAAAAAGAATAAAATAATTGTTGAGTCATAAAAGGAGGAGGGATAAGAGTAACAAATTCAAGGGAAGGAGAGAGTTCACAGTTTTTATGCTGAGAGGTTTCTCCCCCCAACTAAGATCCATTTTTATCTCATTCTACTCACAGAAATCCTAACAAATTCATCTTATATATATATTGTAGAGATTATGATATTAATTTCATCTTTCATCTTTTTCTTTTCTTGACGTGTGTTATAAAAAGAATTACCACTTAAAAGTTGAAATTTCAAGCATTTTTTTGTGTTATATAAAGGAACAAATTCAACTACATAGAATAAAATAAAACAAATCAATTAAAGAGAACGAACAGAAAAATAGAGCAAGTCAATGACACTATCGTTTACATATCAGAGTTTCACAAAATAGGGGAATGGGATGAGAACAATACTACAATATTATATATGAGCAATGAATAATAGTGTAGTATTATTAGTAGAGAAAAAATTGAGAAGACAAGAGCATAGAAAAAAAAAAGATGAAAAACTTACTTGAAAAATCTTGAAACACTTGAAAAATCACTTCAAACAATTCTTCAAAATTCGATGGGTTTGGATGAGATTGTTTTATGAATCTGGTATTTATTAATAACACTAGAAAGTCCTTCAAAATTTCTCTCACACAAAAATATTTTAAAATTCTTATATTTTTGAATACCATTGGATTATTTTTAAGTTGTAAAAAATCTCAAATGAATACCAGTGAATTTTAATAGACTTTTTAAAAAATCTTGAAAATCCAGATTGAATACCACTGAATTGTTTTTAAGTGACATAAAATTCTGATTGAATACCAATGAACTTTTTTACTCAAAAAAAGTCTTTTAAAATCCTACGAAATCCTAAACCAATACACATCCCTTAATAAATCAGAGTGTTGCCTTCTTTATAGGCACAGTGGGCAAGTATTAATTTGTCATGCATTATAATCAATTACCCAACTGCTAAAAATATTTTCAAATCATATAGGAGCTTCATAAAAGTGCTTCAGGACAAATTTATCTAAACAAACTCTTAATTATCTCGTCACTACAAGTCTCCCTTCCGGATAGGAAGATCTCATATTCACACTTTCGAAACAAAGATAACCGAACCAGTTTCCTGAATTGGATTTACTCAGCAATACGAGAAAAATGGATCTATGGCCATAGAGATAACAAGAAATTAAGGATAGTAGGAAGGGACATGAAAGATTACATAACGCTTCTTGCATTGCTTCAGTAACCGCAAGGAAATTCCATTTCATATTCATAATAATGTGCCACAACTTTAACCGATGTTTCCAAATCCTTCAATGTTGATAAGCATAACGAATAATTAAATGAATAAGGCCCAATAGGGCCACTAATATTTTGGGCAGGGGATATATCAATTATATGTTCTTTGATAGTTGTGATAATCCCCAGAAAGGTCGTTACTGCATAAATTGTTCTGTTTCAAGGAAAATATAAGTAGAAGACATGTCACTTGACTTCAAAAAATTATAACACTGAATCTATGGTGTCAACAAATAACTGTTTCAACACAATCCCTCCATAGACTGATGTGAATCACCGCAAACAAACACAACAATACATATATCTGAAATTAAATTAAAGGGTTAAGGGAACAAGTTAGTAGTTAATCACAGTTATGCTGAAGTAGAGATCTTTGAGCATGATTGGGTTTACCTTTTTTCAAAGAATTAAATAATTTTTTAAATAATAAAAATTTAAAATAGCTTATATTCATTGAATTGAAAGGAAAGAAATTTTCATTTCTTTGCTTCTTATTTGAATGTTATTCAAATTACATATCTTTTTCTACTCTTTTTCGTTCTTTATTCTTTTCATTTCTTTCCCTCTTATTCTTTTCCTCTTTATTTTATTTCTAATCCAAAAGCATAACTAAATTTAGGATATGGAACAATTGATTTGAGAATAAAAAACCTGCAAGCAGAGGGAGAAGAAAAAAGCCATTGCTCTGTATGTTTTATGAGCAAACCTGCACCATTACCAAGTACCAACTCTAACACTACCAGAACTAGTCTAGTCTAGTCTAAGTGTCTTTGATTGTGAAGTTTCACTCATCAGGTGTCACTTGTCAGGTTATGGCTAGCACCGGGGTCCGGGTAATAATGGATCAAGAACTGCAGAGGGTATGACAAGGGAATAAAGAAATGTAATTTTGTTTTTGGTTTAAATTTTTTCAGTTGAAAATATGTTAGGTTTAAGGGTTTGGAATGATTTAAATTGGTTGTTGAAACTTGAACACCCTTTAAGTGAGATTTATGAGATGTGTTTGTGTACTTGGCATAATATTATTGTGTATACATTGTCACTCTGAAGCTAAAATATTTGGATGGCACAAACCTTTATGCAATCATGAAATAGTGTTAACTGTTAACTCCTTGCACACAAGGTGTACGTAAACTATAAAGTAAAAGCAATGTCTACCATCCAAGAAATGGTACACTGAATCACTGATGTTGTTTCCTAGCCAAAGAAACATTTGTCAGAACCTAACAAACCAACCTCTGACCTCAGACACTGCAAATAACAAACACAAACACCCCACTCAGCTCAAGAAATGACCCTTGGTTTGCATCTTCTCCAACAAACAGGTTTCTTATTATTATAGTTTACAAAAAGCATGATTGAGTGAATGAAATATATTAAACAATGTTGTTTGAACTTTCCAAGTTAGGAGAGCTGGAAGCTTCATAGAGTAACTGAAGGGTCTTCTGATACGGGGTGCTCCAAAAATGCTGCATCGCCACCCTTTGTTTGATGGAAAAATAAGCAAAATGTGAAATTTCAAATTAAAATTTGATTTTGATGAAGAGTTTAAGCACCCCACAATCTAATTGGTTGAGATTGCAGCAGAATAAGCCCAAAACTATATTGAATGCTTAATTCACTAATCTAATTTCAAAAATAATAGATCTATGTCACATCTCTCCTAAACAATATTTGACAAACCACGTTAACAAATACAAGTGTTCATTTCGAAGTGATGCTACTCCTATACATGCAAATAAGAACAATTCTAAATAATCGATTAAGTAAAAGCAGTTAAATGAAAAGAGACTTATTTTATCTGCTTTTACTTTATCTTTTGAGTGATCTTTATTTCTAAACTGTACCGGGAGGACCCTATCGGTCACGTTGACCAACACGTGCCGTTCCGTCAGACACCCATGCAAGCTGGACCATACCCAAGGCTGACGTTAGCATCGGCTCGGCTTATAGCCGAAGGCCGAGATTTGTCAACTGGCGCATAACGGCTCGGCTGAAGGCCGATGCAAGCAGCATGATGCATTCCCGCATACTATGTATCGGCTCGGCCCAATGCCGATCCGATAGGATTACCAAGTAAACGTCTACCGGCATTAGCCTGTCGGCTCGGCAATGTGCCGATAGGTTAAACAAGTTATAGTACAAATCACAGTTAACAAGGATAAATGCATAATTAAGACACGGTTAGCTGATTAGCATCGTATTACCTAATTTGGTAAAGATTAGAATAGGCCCACCACGTTCAGGCCCATGTCAGGTATTATAAATAGGTCACACGTAACAAGGTATGTCACTGTTTATTAATTACCCTAGAATATCATGCATATCCTAACTTGAGCGTCGAAGTACCTTTTGCAGCTACCTCCCCCCTCTGAAGAGTCCGTTTAAAGCATTCGTTCGGCCCTTCTCACTAAGAAGACTACGAGTGTACCCTCAAGCAGGTACATTTTGGCGCCAACCGTGGGGCCGAACCGAAAGCATTGCAGAAACATCGAAAGTTTACGAGTAAAAGAATCATGGTAAAGACAAGGAATACTAATTTTGAAGGGCAACGGTCCGAAGAGGAGCACCAGTCCGGGGCCGAGACGGTTGAGGAGACAAACTTGACCGATATGGTGCGCCAGATGAAGGAAGAGATGATCGCCATGAAACAGCAGCGAGAGAGAGATGCCGCCGAGATGGCCGCATTGAGAGAAGAGAATGCTGCTTTAAAAAATCAATACCGAGACCCCACATGGAAACCATCTGAGACGACCCACACTCAGGGATCGTTCCACTCGCACGGCCATCATACCTCCATTCCTCACACTTCTGTCGCTACCCCAGGCATTCAGCTCCACATCTGCCATGTTCCCTTCTCATTAGCAGATGCATCGTCCAGAGGAAAACCATGCTTGTCTTGGTCATTGGGGGTACTGGGAAACCAATTAGAAAAGCTATGCTTTTCTCGGGATGAAGGGGACTCAATTGGAGATAGCTTATTAACATCAGAACCAGCAGACATGCTTTTTAGAGAATGAGGTTTTGCCACTTCTTTGTCTGTCCCAAAGCCAGTTCCCAAGTCCAACTGAAAATTATCAAGTGACTCAGAAACAGGCCCAAGCAAGGATACTGGATCAGGAACATAACAGGGGTCTTCAAAAAGCTCTTGATCCTCTTGTCTAAAGTCATGTGATGTATTTCCAACTGGAGAAAAAAATGGTTCAATTGGAGGAGAAAAACCTAGACTAATACTGGTTGGTCCACTTGCATGGGTAGAAATATTAAATGGTGATGGAAGACCAAACTGAATAGGATTATTAAATGATTTTGTAACTGGTGACTGGCCAGATAACTGAGGGCTTTTGACTTCTGCTTGAACTTTGGAATTTGGTCTACATATTACATTTGAAGATTGAGGAACAGGTGAAGATCGAGTAAATAATTGCTGCCATGACTTTTTAGGTGCTGCTGTCCATGGCTGTGGTTCAGGGATTACCTGCAGGGAATAATTACCATGGTGATACTGTTTTATTAGTACTTTATTTGCAACCCATCTAAGATAATCTTATATAAGTATAACAAACAATTAATCTTAACTAGAGCATCATATAATTTTGTTCATAAATCTCAAAGACTGAAAGTTTCGAATGTGAACAAACAACACAGAAGTTAGAGCCTTATCCAAACACTTGAATATAATACTAATTTGTAAAATCCACATCATGTCTTTGGATTAAAAAAAATATTAGTATTCATTATCAATCAGCCTTTGCCAAGACCTGCTAAAACAGCATCATAAAAAGGCAAAGAAAAGGGGATAGAAAGCAACAGCAAGTCAACTTACAGAGTGATTGATATTCTTATCATCTCCATTTAAATTGGGTTTTGCAGCTGAACGCTCATGAAGGCCTATTTCTCTCCTGCTGGCAGAAGTATGAACATGATCTACAGAACTACTAAACTTGTTTTCTTTCACCCCAGTGCTAGGAATATTAGTACCCCTGCCAAAACCAAATGCTTTTGAAGAGGACAAAATTGTTCCACGCATGCGGTCAAGATACCTTGTTCCAGTACCTCCTCGGTTATAATTGTTTGAAGTGACACTTTTAGTATGTGCATTGTCGGTACTCTGTCCCTTGCCACTATCTAACCCAGATTTCTGATGCTCTCTACGATCTATTTCACTCTTTTTGTCAAAGTCCCGCTTCCGTTCACTTTCCTTGCCAGCTCTTCTTTCCAATTCTTCAACATCAGAGTTGCTCTTACTAGACCCTTTATCTTTCTCTTTTCTTTTTTCCTGACGCTTCCTTTCAGCATCCTTCCTACGGTCTTTCTCCTTACTGAGATTTGATGATCTGCTGTGATCTTTCTCAGCTTCCACTTTCTCGTCTCTCAGTTTCCTACGCTCCTCTACTAACCTTGCAACCTCCTCCCTCTGTTTCCTCTCTTCCTCCTCCAAAAGTTCTTTTTCTAGCCTAGCCTGCCTTTTCTCCTCAGCTTTCCTACGTGCTTTTTCTCCTCTACTTTCATTAAGGCTTGCCCCATTCTCACCTCGTTTTGCTAAGAGTGCCCTATGTTCAGCATCAGACGAACACTCTTCCCTTGAACTAATTCTAAAAGTCTTTCTCCAGAGCCATCTAATGCTCAAGAAAAAAGATGTCAAAAGCTTGCAAACCAAAAACAAAATACCACAGTATGATCTCTCTGTCAAACAATGCTCATCTCCTCCAAAAAGACCACCATTTCCATTCGTCCTCCAGTTGCTAGGATTACCTGGAATAGATCCACCAACCCAATTACCATTCTCCAACCATTCCTGACCACACATCCACCCATTTTCAGACCAAACCTTGCTATTTAATATCTTGCCACCTTTTCCAACCAAGTCCTTCACTATACTGGAATTTGAAATCCCCAATCCGGGTGGCACAGGCAAGTCTAAAACCGGTCTCTTAGAAACATGACCACAATTAAAACACATAAACCGACCCCCACCAGGGTTCTGATCTCTATATGGACTCAAACAGTTCCGGCACCGCCTCGTAGCTGTCTTCCTCAACTTCTGCATTTCAATTGCTTCAAACCTCTTCCTCTCCCTAATCCGTAGATCTCACTACAAGTCGGCCTCACCAGTTGACCTCGTTGGCGCTGGTCAGCATCTGTCAGGAGAAAAAGGAGTCCCTTCGAGCGTTCATAAGCCGATTCAACAAAGCGGCGCTTGAAATCCGAGACTTAAACCCTGCAGTGGCTCTGCATCACCTTACCACCGCCTTGAAACCGGGGCCTTTTGCCAACAGCATTTGTAAAAAAACCCCTACCGACATGGATGACTTCGTCAGCGAGCCGACAAATACATGCAGATGGAAGAACTAGCCGAGTTCCGTAACCAGGCCCGAGCGGAGGTGTCGACAAAGCCTGAAAAGCCGGCTGAAAACAATTTTCGAAGCCGTCCGAAAGAAAGGTGGCAGAAGCTGAGAAAGCGCCCATAGACCAATTAACGGAATAACCAACCAAGGTAGCATTGTAGCAACCCGGCGAGACCACTTCTGAATCACACAGAGTATACACATTATCCTCTAACCCTAACCCTCTTCCTAGTCCAAAATATACCCTCTCTTTTTTTCCAACAAGAACCAACGATTACAACAAAACCCTAACCCTGCGTTTCTTTCCCCCTCCAAATCAATATCCGCCAGAGCCAGACGCAGAAACTTCAGAACCCTAAATGTCAAACCTAAAACGACAAGGGAGAAAAACATTCAGAATCTCAAGAAATCGACATAAATTACCCTATTTAAGCAACCGAGACCACATATAGTTCAAAAAGTAAATTTCGAAATGGAACCGAGAGCTATGTCGAGAAAAAGAAATAAAGAACGAATGGGAGCTCCGTCCAAGGCGATTGTGGCATCAATCGACATGGAAATGGAATGGGAATCGAGCACTCACAGATTCGGCGTCAATGGCGAAAAGGAGAAGAAGAAAACCCTCGAAAATGCGATTGGGGCGAAAATGAAATGTGTAAGAGTTGGGAGCTGAACTGGACTCTCACGCCATGCCGACAGCCAAGGCATCAAAATCTCATACCAAAAGAGAGTAACCAACAACACGAAAACACAAGCCAGACGAGGTGAAGTAATCTCGAAGCGAAAAGCAGGTGGCAGAAGCTGAGAAAGCGCCCATAGACCAATTAACGGAATAACCAACCAAGGTAGCATTGTAGCAACCCGGCGAGACCACTTCTGAATCACACAGAGTATACACATTATCCTCTAACCCTAACCCTCTTCCTAGTCCAAAATATACCCTCTCTTTTTTTCCAACAAGAACCAACGATTACAACAAAACCCTAACCCTGCGTTTCTTTCCCCCTCCAAATCAATATCCGCCAGAGCCAGACGCAGAAACTTCAGAACCCTAAATGTCAAACCTAAAACGACAAGGGAGAAAAACATTCAGAATCTCAAGAAATCGACATAAATTACCCTATTTAAGCAACCGAGACCACATATAGTTCAAAAAGTAAATTTCGAAATGGAACCGAGAGCTATGTCGAGAAAAAGAAATAAAGAACGAATGGGAGCTCCGTCCAAGGCGATTGTGGCATCAATCGACATGGAAATGGAATGGGAATCGAGCACTCACAGATTCGGCGTCAATGGCGAAAAGGAGAAGAAGAAAACCCTCGAAAATGCGATTGGGGCGAAAATGAAATGTGTAAGAGTTGGGAGCTGAACTGGACTCTTCCGAAAATTTAAAAAACGGCTTTGTACGCCTCCAATTTTGTCTAAACCGGTCAGTGGCCTAGCCATGGCTGTTTACCTGTCAGTTTCGAGTAGTGCAGTCAGTGCCGTCATAATACAAGAAAACCAGGAAGGTCAACAACCCATCTATTTTATCAGCTGGATGCTGCAAGATGCCGAGCGACGTTATCAACTGTTAGAAAAGTTGCCTTAGGGCTCGTCTATACCACTCGGCGATTGAGGCAATACTTTCAAAGCCATAAGATCGTAGTCAGAATCGACTGTCCGGTTGCGAAGGTCCTCCGGAAACCAGAAATCGCCGGCCGGATGATGGCATGGTCGGTTGAGCTTTCAGAATTTGACATATCTTTCGAGCCAAGAGGGCCGATCAAGTCGCAACATCTGGCCGATTTTGTTAACGAGCTCACTCCTCCGGGATGTTTTGAGGACGAACCTTGGACCATGCATGTTGATGGATCCTCTAATGCCCAAGGTAGCGGGGCTGGCATAATTCTGGCTAGCCCTTCAGGAATCACAGTTGAACAATCCCTTCGGTTCGGCTTCCGTGCATCAAACAATCAGGCCGAATACGAAGCCTTGATAGTAGGAATGAGACTAGCAACTAAAATGAACGTCACAAAAATCATATGCTGGACCGATTCGAAGATCGTGGCTGAACAAGTCAATGACAACTTCCAAGTCAAGGACTCCAATCTGCTGCAATATTACCACCTCTTCCAGAAGCTCAAGGACGACTTCACCGAGGTGCAAGTTCGCCACGTATTGCGCGCCAACAATGAACGAGCCGATCAGCTAGCTCGGCTCGCCAGTAGCCGGAAACCAGGACAGTTGTGAACAACCATTCACCTTGAGATTCCCTCTCCAAGTGTGACGGTTGAGTGTATGTCAACCGGTACCGAGACGCCGACCTGGATGACCGCCATTCGAAACCTTATCGACCGAGGGGAGTTACCAGCCGACCCGATGGAGGCAAAAAAGATACGAACACAAGCGGCTCGGGACTCCATGATCTCCAATGAGCTCTATAGGCGAGGATTCTCCACCCCGCTCCTCAAATGTATCGACACTCCCCAAGCCGACTACGTCATAAGGGAAATACACGAAGGTATCTGTGGCTCCCACTCAGGTATCTGAAGGCCGATGCAAGCAGCATGATGCATTCCCGCATACTATGTATCGGCTCGGCCCAATGCCGATCCGATAGGATTACCAAGTAAACGTCTACCGGCATTAGCCTGTCGGCTCGGCAATGTGCCGATAGGTTAAATAAGTTATAGTACAAATCACAGTTAACAAGGATAAGTGCATAATTAAGACACGGTTAGCTGATTAGCATCGTATTACCTAATTTGGTAAAGATTAGAATAGGCCCACCACGTTCAGGCCCATGTCAGGTATTATAAATAGGTCACACGTAACAAGGTACGTCACTGTTCATCACTTACCCTAGAATATCGTGCATATCCTAACTTGAGCGTCGGAGTACCTTTTGCAGGTACCTCCCCCCTCTGAAGAGTTCGTTTAAAGCATTTGTTCGGCCCTTCTCACTAAGAAGACTACGAGTGTACCCTCAAGCAGGTACATAAACTATACTCCTTCACTTGGAGCTAATTTTTTTTTTTTTACCTTCACCCGTTATAAATAAGATTTTGACCATAATCAACTCTGTCACCAAGTACCTGTCCATGATTAAAAATATGCATCTTAAAAACCATATTAGTAAGTTGAAAAACTCACGTGACAATCCAACACTAAGCTAGATTTAGACGACAATTTTTCACTTTAACTCACTCTTTTGACAATTTAGATGATTCATTTCTCTGACATTTTGATCAAACAATTTCATCCATAATAAAACTACAATAATGTTGTCATTTGAATTAATGAAATTAATGATTAAAAATAGAAGATACTTAAAGAATAAAAATAAAAAATTAATTCAGTTATTTGAAATAAAGAAAAAGCACAAATGAATCTTTACAATGAAAAACGTCAACATGTGAACCTTAGATTTCTATTAGTTTTACCAATATATTTTTCTAAACAAAATAAGAATTAACAACCAAAGAAATCTAAGCACATTGAGAAGGCAAGTTTCAGAGTCAGAATACTAGTTGTTAATATAAAATCTACGTTATGTCTTGAATTTTTATAAATGTAAGATTTATGAAAAATAAAAATAACTACATAAATAATAAAAAGTAAGAACTAATGAAAATATTTAAAATAAAGAAAAAGAATTAGTTGTTTGAATCAATTATAGCAACCCATTTATCTCCTCATTGAGACACTGATATTAATTTAGTGTCTTTTTTTTTTCTTCTTTTGGTTTGTCCCTGAAGTATCTACCACCGATAGCAGTGACTAATCTCCTCGCTACGTTAGAGGCACCTTAAAGAGTATGATAGCTGACCCCAAGATTTAACGCGGCAAGATTCATATAATGCAACATACATATTAACGTTTTCATACTATTTAAATTATTACTTTTTTATGAGTGTTGTAAATTAGTTGCCTGATTCAAATGTCTGTTATAATGTCTTTACATTTCTCTAAAAAAAAGTATAATATCTCTACATTATATCATCTATAATCTGACACAAATATATAAGTATTATAGGTTAAATTAATATAAAATTATTTTTTTGGTTTTTTAATTAGGTCTCTATAGTGAAAAGTACTCTAAAAATATTTATATAGTTTAAACATCTTGTAATTAAATCTTTCACTCATTAACATCGTTAAAATTCTGTTAATTTATGCTAATTGTGTATTTTAATTACCTTTTAACAAGTTAATCACTCTTTTAATTTTATTTGTTTTAAATTTTTAATTAAATATTTAATTTTAATATTTCAATTACATCAACATTTAGGATTCATTTCACATTCAAATTTAAATCATATTTCAGATTTTTAACTCTTTGATTTTTTTTTTAATTTATATCTATTCATAAAAACTAAAAAAACAAAAAAAAACAATTTTTTATATTTATTACTAAAAAATTAATTTAATATTTCAATTTGTATAGTACACAAAGTGAATATCTATTTTATATAATTAATTTTTTAATTAATAATTTTTTAAAATATATTAATTTTATAATCATTAAAAATAATGTCATTCAAGATAATTATACTAATTTATATATAAAGAGGATATGATATAAAATTAAATAATGAAATCATGAATTAATTATTATTTTAGCCTTAAAACATACATAAAATGTTTATTTTATACAGTTATGATTTATTATAAACAAATATTTTTAATATTTAAATAAGTTAATAAAAATAATATATCATGGTTAAAAGGGTGAAATTTTCTTTAAAGAAACAAAAAATTGTCTGCGTAATTTATATTTTAGAAATAATTTTTAAAACAAATTCAAACTAAATTATGTTTTTGGTTGATCTTTTCAAGTAGAATGTTTATAGAATTTTTCTCGACCTTTCATCTTCAATTTTATCTTGTTTTTAGTTTTAAATTTAATATAACATTTTAAGAATTATTAATAATCAATAATAATCTTGTGATACAATATATACTGTTAATTTTAAATCTAAAATATGAACATATGTTTAAAAATATTCATTTATTACAAATTTTATTTATTTTATATTTTGAAAATATTTAAAAATAATTATTTATTATAAATCATAAATATATAAAATAATCATTCATTATGGATATTATATAGGTTAAAATACTGATTAATTTTGAATATTATTTCCTCTCTATATAAATTAGTACAATTATTTTAAATGATATTATTTCCAAATAGTTATTTACATATACAAAATATATTTAAAAATATTTGTTTATTAAAAATTTAATTTTATAAAATATTCATTCATTTTATGTATCTCACTACAAATTGAAATATTGAATTTAAATTTTGCAAATAATAAAAAGTTTTAATTTTCATTTTTTCTTGATTTTTATGAATAGATATAAGTTTGAAAATATCAAAAAAGTTTAAAGCCTGAGATTTGTTTAAATCTGAATTTAAAATGGATCCTAAAATTTTGGTATAACTAGTCTATCAAAATTAGAGATTTAATTAAAGTTATTAAAACAAAGAAAAATAAAAGGATAAGTAATATATTAAAAATTAACTAAAATTTTCGGTCAGTATGAACTAAAAGAATTTTAACCGATGTTAGTAAGTGAAGAATTTAATTACAAAAATTTTAAATTATGAAGATCTTTGTAAAGTGTTTATAACTGCAAATATCTAATTGAAATCTTAAAAAATAAACTATAGCACCAAGATTAATTTAACTAATATTAGAACAACCTCCTGTGCCATATCACTGTCAAATCAGCTCTGGTTCATTTTATGGACTGTTTAAATTTTAGCAAAGTTGCTTCTACAAGCAACTTTGCTAAAATTTAAGCAATCCATAAAGTAGGTCAGAACTAATTTAGCAGTAATGTGGCACAGAAGTTACTTATAAGCAACCCCATTACAGATGCTCTTATATATTTTATTGTAGCGTCTTATTTAAATGATTTGAATGCATTTATTAATTCACATAAATATGTAGTAATTTGTAATGCCAAAATTAGCCCTAATATGAGCGTAGAGAAATTGCTTTAATAGCTTTAAAGGTATTATAGAAAAGAAATACTACCTACTACCTTTGTTTCTGTATTTAAAATTCTTTTCATCTTATTGTTTGTTCATTTATACGAGACCGTACTTTAATTATTTCTTATATTGACTATTTTTTTTTCTATTATAGCTTTAATTAATTAACAATGTTTTAATAATAAATTAATAAGATAAACTCTTTTTCTTTCCTATCATGATTGGAGAAGATAGGTAGACATAGTTTTCAATGATTAATATTATCTTTTCAAACATCAATTAATTAGATTAAAAATCATTAATGGAAAGAGATGATTAATTCGAAAACTATTGGGATAATTTTAAAAATAAATTAAATTATTAAAAATATTCAATTTAACCAACTAAATTAACCAACTTTCCAAACATTTAAATTAGTTGAAAAGTTTTTATAGGGCCGATGGTAGTTGCATGGCTTTTGTTAACTTTGGGATAAGCTGATATTTCAATTTATTGCACTTTAAACTCAAACTTTGAACTTACAAAGTGCCCTTTCTCTTGTGTATGGTCCCAATATCAAGTGGCAGGATCCGATGAAAATTTATAGATCAATTAGGGCCTAAGTCAACTAATCTATTTAATTACCACACATGTCTTGTTGTTTTCTCTCACTGTATCCTGATACTTGATCAGGCCAAGCTAACACGGGTACCAAAAAGCTGATTTGCTTTGGGCCTGCAACTACAATGTGTAATTGATCACAGCACAATGACAAATTGTGCAAGAGTGTTCATCACAATGGGCCAATAGGAGAGATTGTTCTTCCCCATTCTCATCCAACTCCAAACTTTACATCTACATAATCAATTCAACACTTAAATGAAAACAATAACATTGAATTCTAGTCGAATCAAATACCACTATATATATTCTAGTCAATCAAAAACTAGTATATATGTTTTTTTCATAAACACCACACATAATCTTAAAACTAATACTCAATAACTAATTTGTATTTGTAAAATATGACTTTGGTTAACTAAGTATTATTTTAATATTACAGGAATTGATTCTAAATACTGAAATGATGAGTGGTTATTCATTATATTAGGAGCATAATGTATAATACATAAGAGGTAGCAAACAAGGGGATTAGAGTAGCACGAGATTCATGCTGTCCTTCATAAAAATACAAACAATCTTAATACATTTGACTCTTGGGTCCCCACTTGAAACAAAAATAAAATAAAATTACTACTCTAATGTATAAACTTTGTTCTTGAATGTTGCATCCAGTTTAGACACGTGCACACAGCCCAGACCGTTACAAATGCCACTAGTGTTGTACCTCTGCACGGTTTAAGGAGAAGGGGGACCAGTTGACCAGTTTCAACATTACTCCCAAAGCCAAAGGCAAAGCAACAATGTTTCATCTGTCTGCATAAGCTTTTGTGAACAAAGAAAGAATAGATGTACCTCATCCATAACATGGAGGTGCCATTATATTTTATGCTGTTCAATTCTGCAATGATTGTACAAATTATGTTCCCAATGCAAATTTGCAAGATTAGCAACCAACATTAATTTCTCTGCCATGATTTATGTACAGCTTGTACCACACCATCATTCATAGCCCTAGGGATTTAAACTAAATCAATTTCAAACTCTGTTCGGGGTCACACCATCCATTTGAACTTATCCCCACTTTTTATATTATTACTATTACTATTAATTTAGTTTGCAACTTGTGAATCTATGATTTTTGCCTAGTGCTTAGATAACTGCTATGGAATTGTGTTATAGATTAAACAGTGATCTGGAATTCAAACTGTGATAAATACTCAATCAAATTCGACATAATAGTCTATGTGGTTTAGTACCAAAGGAAAATGATTCCTTTTCATACCTGAAGAGACATGGTACGGCAAGAGTTTTCCTAGAAAATGATGGCTGGACTCAGAGGGGCGAACTAAGACTCTTGACTATATAACAAAACCAATGTTCTAGTTTCCCTAAGCATGATAGAGAAGCAATGATAAGAAAGAATATAACAAAAAAGTAGTGTAATCCAAATATGCACAATCTATGTATCATGGGCCACTGAGTTTTTTTTTTCTATATTGGATGCACGTAACACTGACCCACGCAACAAGCTTCCAATTCCGAAAGCTTCTCTCTTCTTTCCCTGCCCTTCAAATTCTTTTCAGCACGGTTACCTCTGTGTGTTCCTTTTCCCTTTCTCATCAGAACAAATTTTTAACCAAAACCACATTGCTTGCTGGTTGCAATGTGCCAATGGACTTTCTGCAAAATAGCATCTCTTATCCCACTTACAAAAGTATAGTGCTTTTACTTTACATTATTACATTGCATCTGAGAACACAACCTATTGCTCTGGCTCATATTTTTCTCTATTAGTGTTAGAACCTGCACTCAGGTCTAAAGCACATGGGCCACACACAATTGTTGTTTTCCTATGAAGATTCATGTTGGCATGTAAATCCACTTGGGAATCAATCACATTCATAGAAGGGTGTTTAAATCACCATTGTGATCCTTTTGAGTAGTAGTGAAAGTAGTGAACATGTTATTTTTGGTTTTTTATTTATTTATTAGATAATAGTCATTCATTCACCAATCACCACATCAGCCCCACAATTTTTTATTTTTTTGCCAACCTTTTTCCTCCCTTGTGGACCCCAATTCCAAAAGCCCCACTTCTCTTATTTATCTCACATTACCATGAGTGCCAAACCAAATACACTGATGGAGCTAGAGTTACCTAAGCTCTCACTCTCACCCCTCATTCATCATAGAAAGTACTAGAAAGCACACACACAACTCCTTCACAAACACACAAAGGGAGAGATAGAGATAGACACAAAGAGAAGATGGGTAACTACAAGTTCAAATTATCAGATATGATCCCAAATGCTTGGTTTTACAAACTCAAGGACATGGGAAAAGCAAGAAAGCAAACCTCAACTCAGCCCAGGAAGAAAAAACAACCTTCACAAGCCTCGACCACACAACCATCAAAACCAAAGCAACCCCACCAATACAATCCCAGAAAGTCTTACTACTTCACAAGGGAACTTAACCCCAATGACAGAATCTACACCTCACCAGCCAACAACCGAAACCTCAAAGACACCAATTCCCCTGAACCCCCAAGAAAATCATCCAAACAAAGACTCAAGAGAAGAACTGCAAGGACTTCTAGTTCTAGTTCTTCTCCTAAGCATATTGTTGCCACCAACAATAACAACTCCTCATCACCACCACATCATAGCTCTCCTGAATCAGAGTACCCTGACCCTGAATTCAGAACAGACCGTGTTCTTACCACTGAATCACTGGATGAAAAAACCATTCCTTGGTCCAACTCTTGTGCCTGCAGGCTACACCCCGACACCAAGGACATCATCATTGATGTGGACAACAATTCCATAGCCAGAAAAGATGATAAGCTAGAAGGGTATGAGTATGATTCCTTATCAGACCTTGTGCTTCCACCAATTGTGACCAAGCCAGAAAAATTCAATGACTTGCTCAGTGCTGCCAAGAAGAAAGAATCCAAACCAAGAAGCAAAATGGTTGCACATGAAGAACCAAACCTGCAGGGTCCTCTAAGAGTTAAAATTGTGAAGGAACACAAGAACACACCTAGTAGGAGGTTCTCTGTGAGCTCTCCAGGAGTGAGGCTTCGGATGAACTCACCAAGAATTGCCAGCCGGAAAATTTCGGCACAAGGCCGGAGAAGCGTGTCGGCGGCCGCGGCCGGCCGGAGAAGCCTCTCTGATAGCTTTGCAATTGTGAAGTCATCACTGAATCCTCAGAGAGACTTCAGAGAATCAATGGTGGAGATGATTGTGCAGAACAACATTAGGACATCAAAGGATTTGGAGGATCTTCTTGCTTGCTACCTTTCTCTTAATTCAGATGAGTATCATGATCTCATTATCAAAGTGTTCAAGCAAATATGGTTTGATTTAACTGATAATTAGTGCAGAACAAGTAAGTAGTAACCAATTGAGGTTTAAGGCCATTCTAAAGGAGTTTCTCAACTTTCTGTTTCTCACACAATTTATGTTCACATGTAAGTAATGTTAATATCTTGGTTAAGTTAATTTTAATATATAGACCTTAGTGCTAACTGCCGAGTCATTATATATATCTCAGAGGTTTTGTCATAGAATTGAACCGCTATAGAATGAAATTTACTCTGGGTAAAAATAAAATGGGTTTGAGAAATTATTGTGAACTAAGAAATAATTCAATTAATGTATTTATGAACTGTAGCGGTCAGATTGCATATGACTCAAGAATAGTGTCAATTTGGCATGCAAATGTAAAATGGATTTTAAACACAAACTTCAATTGGAATTTTGAACAATTTTATGTGTTGAGAAAGGGAAAATAAAGTTTGCCACAAAGGGTGCATTGCATTGTTAGTTTTCTGTCATCTTCCTTAACTGTCATCTTCCTCAAGAAAAACTTGGAGCATAAAATTAGTTTCTGAATTTTAGTACCTTCATGGACCCAAAGTTGTTTGGGAACAAGACATAACTGGCACAAAGTTGTATAAGTTGTTCATATTGTAAGAGACAGAACCAGTTGCAAAAACTGACAACTTCTTCCATTAAACTTTTGATTTTTTTTTATTATTTCTTTTCCTCTAAAAGAAATTCCCCTTTTAAGTACAAGCTCTTGATTTCACGTCTTTCATCCCAAAATTTAAAGGGCTTCTAGCTTCTTTCCTAGCCAGAGCATGCAGCTTTTAAGATCTTGGATACTAGTTCTCCACCTCAACTACACACAGCTGCTAGGGAGAAACTTGTATCTTCATAAGAAGTTATCATTGCACATTTTTTTACGGCACCTTGCAATACAAAGTTAAATTATATATTAAAATATAAATTCCTATTATCTTATTAGAAAAAAGTAAAAATAATACTTAAATATTGTTCTTCTCTTCACAACATTGGCCGTTCACTTCATGTATTAATTTGATATAAAATTGTTCCAACTTAATTATCAGTTTTGAGTTTAAGTACATAATGTGTTACATATTCAAGAATTTATCCTCCATTAATCTGACTCAAATAAGATTATGAATTGTGGATATTTTTTTTAAATAGGGAATAATTTCCCCCCTAATCATGAACTTAAGAATTCAAATTGTCACAGTCTCATTTGCGTTAAACCCAATGAATCGTGGAGGAAATGAGGGGGGGAAAAAATCAAAAAAGGTCTCAAATTTCCTGAAGCTTGTCTAAAGGTGAAAGTTAGATTTTGAAAATCTAAAGCTACTTCTTCGTTTATTACAAAAGTTGTTGCTAGACTTTAACTAGAGACATAGGCTCATCTGATGAGTCCTTGTGTACCCTAGGCTTATATTATTTGAATAGTTTCAGTCGTGAGTCCTAACCTTGTATGAATAGTTTTACACAGTGTAACATGTTCTGTCTCTGTGTCGGGTTGTTTTAAATTAGCCATAATTAATTTTAATCGTTATTCCTAATTAAACTGAATATTCAAAATAACTATTTTATGATATATAAAGATATAGTAACACGTGATAAAATTACGAACAATTAACACCGTACTAGAGGTTTATATTCAAGATAGATAAAACTAAATCCAAAACATAAAGTGTCCCAATTTATTTTCCTTTTCCTCTCGATCGGTTGAACATTTTTGTAAATTTCCCAATTGAATTGCCCATTTTATGTGGACATAAAGGTGCAATCCCATAGTAGAAAGAAAAAACCCCAATTGATAGTGTTGTCTCTTTTTACGACAAAGGAGGATCTAGTTTGACAAAGAGACCAAAAGATTATAAAAATAATAATAAAATATTTGAAATGCTTATTTATTTTTTTTTATGAAGGCTGCCTGTGATTCTGGCAGTAGCAACTTGCATTTGAGCTTTAAGATCTCACTTGTCGCTGTAAAAAGTTTTGGAAGTCCGTTCTCTAAATACTTTATTAAATTTCACCCTTTTATTTTAATTAATTTTAATAAGCGTGCTTAAGGATCTAGACATTTTGTCATTTATTATTTTTAACATATTTTAATAAGCATGCTATTGCCTCTCCCAATTTTTTAAAAAATGATTTTCGTCATAATCGGTCAAAGAGATATAATTTTCTTCCATCAAATTAGTCGGCAATAATATAATATTATATATTATTTACACCACATAACTTTTACACTACATCTAATCCAAATATATTGCGTTTAGTTTCAAGAGAGGAGGGAAGGAAAGAAAGGAATTTTAATAGAAAGAAAGGGAAAGGATGTCAATAAAGGAGTTAGATATTTTATTTGATTACGAATAGATAAGGAAATAAGAGATAACTGTTTTCTTGTTTGATTCATAAGGAAAATAAAAGATTTCAAAACTAATTTACCTTTATATCTTTATAATTAAATTAAAAATATAAGGATATTTTAGATATTAAATTATATATGTTTCAAAAATCTCTTCCTTTTTTCTCCAAATCTTTTCGATATTGAAAATGAGTTAAAATTAGGTTAGAAAGGATTTTGTTCCTCTTCGCCTAAAATTTAAACTAAACAAGACAATTTATGTTTAACAAAATCCCCCCTCTCATTTTTTTTCAACCAAACAATATGTATAATATTAGGTATATGAGTCTTTTTGATATATATACCGACTCTCCTAAATATATAAAGACTACTTGATGCTTCATTTTTTAGCTAGTGCTAGACTACATTACTCACTTTTTTTTATAGAATTAATATGTTATATGATGTTTCTTTTTTAACAATTAATAATTTTGATGTTTCTAAGAGTAAAAGTTTGTGATAATGTTCCATAATCAAATTAGTAATTATAAATACTAATTTAATTTAGGCAAAGTGGTTATAAATCAAGAAATTGATCTTAATATACTTTTATTGAATTGAACTATACTTTCATGTTGTAACTTGAATTTATTTATTTGTTTTTATTGAAAAGAAAAGAAAAGAGCTGCTATAACTTTTATTGAATGTAAAATTAAGTGCATACACTATTAGAATTTTTCTTATTATATGCGATTTTTCATGCGAATTTTGCATAAAAATTCGCAAGAAATATTGCTCCTACAAATTTTTCTGCAAAATTTTATCTTTAAGTAATACCTTCATAGATAATATGTTTTTGCGAATTTTAAAATTCGCAAGAAATTTTTCCACCAAAAAACTTCACAAGAAAGTTTCCTTTGAAAAAAACTCGTAAGAAAGTTTCTTGTGAACTTTTCTGCGAATTTTTTTGCAAGATATTCTAAAGGAAAATTGGAAAATTTCTTCTGAAAAAAAAAACAAAGAAATTACTATTCGGAGGTAATTATTGTATAATTTCTATTAATAATTCTTCAACTTTTAAATGCTTACAATGAATTCATCTAAAATATTAAGAAATTTGCTTCCACGCCTCGAACATGTGACAAATAACTTTTTTAATTCTTAGATTGTAAATTATAGGTCTAACACTCAACCATACAAAATCAACTTGTAAGGTGAGTGTTGCTCCAACTTATATACTTTTTAATTATTTTATTTCTAATCGATGGGAGACTTGAAGAAAATCTTTTAATTCTTAAACTTATAAATTATATATATATATATATATATATATGAAAGAGAATATATATATATATATATTATTTTTTTGGTAAATTAATGTTAATCTGCAAAAAAAAGTTACTTACGAAATTTTTTTACCATTTAGTAAACATTACTTGCGAATTTATTTTTACAAGAAAATTCGTAAAAAACAAGATAGAATTCTTACAACATTTTTTTGCAAAAGTTTACCATGAAATTTTTTTTTCTATGATCATTAAAGTTGTAGCAAAATTTATAAAATAAAAAAATAAAATTATAGATTATTTTTCATAAAATATTTGTAAGAAATTTCTTTAAATTATTTTTTTGTAAATAAATTTGTAAAAAAAAATTGTAAAATTATTATTACAAGAAAATTTTAAAAAGAATATACAAATATTTTTTTTAGAAAAATTCGTAAAAAAATAATACTTTTCTAATAGTGATAGGAATACAAGGAGGGCAATACTCATGTCTTAATTTTTTATTAATTTGAATTTTAAAAAAAGATTCCACGCATACATTTTTTCAATTTTAACTTCTTTTTTAGTTTGACTTTTAATAATTCTTAATCACCTTTCTAATTGTTTTTTATTTGCTCAGATAGTATTGATTTGAAAGCGGTTGTTACTTGAATTAATCCTCGTGAAAACGATATTCTACTTACTATTTTATTACTTAATAAGATTGATATACTTGTCGTGATTGAAAGAAATTTCCCATCAAAATTTTTATGCCATTTTTAGGAGTTGCTAATGAAAAATCAACGAATCCAAATATTAATAGATAACTGTTGTTTTATTTCCCTTGAAAAAAAACTATTGTTTTATTTCATATTTCATTCAATTATCTTTAGATTCTTATTAATTCTTTTGTGTTTCCTTCTGTATGTGTGGTGAATTGTTATGTGCTAGCTAGAGATTGAAAGAACAACCAAGGCCGATATGAAAAAGACTAGGGAGAAGAAATAATACGAAGAAATTAAATTTAGAAAAATAAGGTTTCTATTCACATACTCCTTAATATTCATGAAAAAATGAATGACGTCAAACCAAATTAGGCAATTGTACTCTTGATCACTATAGTAGTCGTACCACCAACCAACATGTGTTTAGCATAGTTCTAACCCACCAATATTATTGCTAAAAACATCAAATGAAATCAACTTATCAAATGAAATCAACTTGTCTAATCCTTTTATTTGGATAGGGTGATACGAGAGAACGAGAGAAATGAAGAAAGTGAAATATATAAAAAATTACCTGAATTTAAATGTTTGGTTGGAGTGAAAATGAATGGAGAAATTGTGAGCATTAGTGAGTCCTAATATAAAATAAAATCATTTTCAAATCGAAAAGAAATGTAAGAAAACTTGTGATATTTTTTCTTTTACTTTATTAAAAATTAAATATTGTTTAGATATGATTTTTTTAAAATAAATAATAAATAATTGTATGTTAAGAAAATGAAGTAAAAGTTATTTTTAATTACTATAAAAATTTATAATAATAAT